AGATGGGGTTTCACCATGTTGACCAGGATGGTCTCGATCAAAAATATCTTGCAATGAAGATATCACACTATCAGAATTGGAGTTTCTCTCTGTATTTGCCTAATTTTTCACTCAGTAGTATACAGGCCAGGAAAGGCACTTTCCAGCTGTACTGCTTGCTTCCCAGAAGCTTCTCCAAGCTTCTGAAGGGCTAAACCCAGTGGCCTCTTCCAAAGGTTCTTCAAAAACAGGTAGGCCATCCAGTTCTGGGCTCAGCTGACTGGATCAGGGCTCAGAGCCTGACCTCAAGGCAGCCTATAGTCAGCCAGTAGTTTCTACGGGGTGACTGACACAACAGCTTTGCTCTCTACTTCATGATGATGGCTACATCAATCAGAGCCACTCTCTGGGAGGGTTTGAATCTGAGGCAAAAAGAGGTCAGCAGTAGACTGCCCCAGAAGTAGACGGACAAAGAGAAATGATAATAAGCAGGATCCATGAATAAGCAGAAACAAGTCAGCAGAAGCCCTGAAGTGAAGGGAACATGAAAGCTGTGTTAGTTGATGCAGAGACAGAAAAAGTGAGCCGCCATAATGTCACAGCATGGAGGAGAGCAATAGGTGGCTGTTTTCTAGGAGCAGTTTCCAGAGTTGAGATGGCGGTTGAGATGGCAGGCAGCTCTAGGTGGCCTACAGAGTAAGAACCACCGTTCTACTAGCATTCAGATAGAGCTGCCACAGTCTTATGCACCAGTGAACTGTGTTCTAAAATCTGGTTTCTAAAAAAATCTTTATCTCATTTAATTCAATTTCCTTGAGCATTCTATTCTGTTTACCTAACAGCCCACTTATAGGAAACTACTGCTTAGTGACCAAGTAGAGGGTCTGATATATTTTTTCCTTATCATATAATTCCTTTACAATGTTGATTTGCAAAAATAATAGGCTCAAAGGTAAGGAGAGGGTCACCAAAATATGCATGCAGTTAACTTCTTGCAACTCGAATCAAATAAAATTCTTCATGCACTAGACAACTTTTGTAAATTTATTAGGAATGGGGTCTGAAAAGCAACTGATTCATTGAAAAGAATTATTTCATAATGAGCACAAACTATTTCAGAAAAATTACAAACAGATATCTAAAAGAATAGAGACCTTTATTATCCCTTATATTCAGCTAAAGGAGAAGTAGACAGAGTGACCATGCACTTTCTATGCCAGTTTAGAGTAAGAGGAAGATTAAGCTCACCAGAGGGTTGTGTTTGGTTTCACTGTATGCCAAGTATAAGTGATCCTAATGGATGTGGTATTCAATACAGCTTCTGGTCTTTTCCTTGTGGAAAATTTCTATGTATATTTAAGGCTCTCTCAGACTTGAAGGGTCTTACCCATCAGTGCTGATAAAATGAGCAAGAACAATCTATGAAATCTTTAGTCTGCTAGTATTTTCAGAGAATAATAAAATGTAAGAAGCACAGTATTTTGATAATCCAGTGGCGTCCACCCCATTTTTTAACTTAGGTGTTTACGGTTTTCTTCTTATTTAATTTGGTTACAAGACTCTGAAACCAAAATTGCTTTCTGCTGCAAAGCCAAATGCATCTCATTAGATTTTCCATTAAGATTAATTTATGCAAATCCAGCATTATTAACTAAATAATTGAAGTGACTTTAGTATGCAAGGAAAGAAATAATTTGGCATTGAGGTTTGGAAGAAAAATTAGGACTTGAAACATTCTTGTCTACTCAGTCCTCTATCATTTCAAAGACAGAACTAATACAATGCATTTTCCACATTTACCTCCTTGTAACTCCCCAAAGACAGGTGGTTAAGATGCCGGCCAACAGTCTTAGTCTCCTTGCCCCCAACCCTTTTGGCCTCTCTCTCCTTCCCAATCGCTCTGTACATTATAAAGAATTGGGACATTTGAGAAAATTTAAGATGCCAAAGCCTTCTCTGAACAGTCAATGAATTCAACAGCAACAGCAAAATCAAAGTCTGAGAGATTACAGACGGTTCTCTAAGGATACCTTATCTACGTAGACATTTTGCTCTATCATATCTATAATTTGATATTCAGTATTGGTCAGAGTCGGGCCATATTCCATAAGATATAATAGGCCAATAAATCTGATATATTATTTGATCTCGAAGATGGCCCCATTTGTTAAAAAACCCCACAAAGGTGAGACATTAAAATAATTTCCTTTTCTGCTGACTGACAGAAAACTCTTAGAATCCATCTTCCCTGAAGCTTTTGTGAGAGAAAAAAAAAAATTGAGTCATTTCCTCAGCATTATGTTCAATCAACTGAGGCATTTGGATTTGGAAGAAAACTACACCAACAATAATATTAAAGCTTTATTGGCCAGGTGTGGTGGCTCACGCCTGTAATCCTAGCACTTTGGGAAACCAAAGTGGGTGGATCAACTGAGGTCAGGAGTTTGAGACCAGCCTGGCCAACATGATGAAACCCTGTCTGTACTAAAAATACAAAAATTAGCCAAGCATGGTGGTGGGCACCTGTAATCTCAGCTACTCAGGAGGCTGAGACAGGAGAATTGCTTGAACCCGAGTTGGGGCAGAGGCTGCAGTGAGCTGAGATCACGCGACTTTACTCCAGTGTGGGCAAAAGAGCAAAACTCCGCCTCAAAAAACAAACAAACAAACAAAACATAAGCTTCACAAGTTGATGAGAAAAAGGCAAAACTCATAGAAAAAATATTTGTATTGCTATCAAATAATTCTAGAGAAAAAGCTTCCACTGTGCAGATATAACGTGACATCTGGTTTAAAAAATATACGTGAAGAAAATACATTTTTACATTTTTGTAAATGCTTTTAAATACTGATGATTGCAGTTCTGAGCACCTTTAAAAAATCCCTTTTTAATTAGCAATCTTTGAGACTTTCTGAGCAATGCTTCTGTTCTGTGAGCTTGATTTCACAAGGAGGAGCTGAGCTGAAACACGTTCTAGCAGCTTTAACTGGCTGGGCGCAGGTCAGTAGATCTCAAAAGAGCCAAGAAGGAACACAGCCTTACAACTGAAATTCAGGCTTACTTGTGTGCATGTGTGTATGAGGCAGCAGCACAAATAAAGTCCACTTTTTGTTTTGTTTCACTGAATTGGCTAAAGGATTTATAAAGCCAGGACCCTCATTATGATAATGCAGGTTAAATACTTTAAAAAAGCATGTGCTGTAACCCTCACAAATCAAAACCATTCTCAATACAGGAGGTAGCTTGTCAAAAACTCAGCCCTATTCTTCTTTGTCTGACCAATTGAAATTCAGAGTGGGAGTATAAATGCAACCAAGAGCTGTGCTTTTTATTCAACAGGGAGAAATAACATGAATAATGAAGACTCTTACCTATGGAGTGGGAAGTTTAACAGTAACATCTTCTGACTGTCGTTTATATATCATATTTTATCTGGAAACCTTTTATCTCAGAATCATTCATAAATTGCTGCCATGACCTGATAGGCCAAAATTGACCCCTATGTTGAGGGTATTCAAAAGCTAAGTCCAGAAGTAGCTCAAGATATTCTCAGATTACCCACAAGACAATGTATACAGTTTAAAATTTGCTCTCTTTACCCTGCTATCAATTTAGCCTGTTAACATATTTTAAATTAAGAGAGGGAGGAAAGAAGAGGCGCTACTGCAATGCTGCATATATTCTTTGAGTTACTTGAACACTTCTTATTTTATTTATTTATTTGTTGAGACAGGGTCTGGCTCTGTCACTCAGGGTGGAGTGCAGTGATGCAATCTCAGCTCACTGCAACCTCCACCTCCCAGGCCCAAGCCATTGTTCCACCTCAGCCTCCCAAGTAGCTGGGACTGCAGGCACATAGCACCACCATGCCCAGCTAATTTTTGTATTTCTTGTAGAGACGGGATTTCACTATGTTGCCCAGGCTGCTCTCAAACTCCTGAGCTCAAGCCATCTGCCTGCCTCAGCCTCCCAAAGGGCTGCGATTACAGGTACATGCCACTGTGCCTGGTCTGAACACTTAATTACTGAATATCTGCTGGAGGAAGGAACAAACAAACACTGTTCTATACAAATCAGCAAATAAAAAGCCTTTCCTACAGTAACATTTTTTCTCTATTTGCTTCAGAGAATTGTGTTACATTAAGGATGTGTGTGTGTGTGTGTGTGTGTGTATGTGTACGTGTGTGTGTGTGTGTGTGTGTGTATAAATTACATATACTAAAAATTTTCCAAAATATATACTAGGCATTTCTATCTGGCAATCAAGAAAGATGGCCTTTTCAGAAGTTGCCATCCCAGGCTGGTCACTATGTAGCACATGTGATGTGATGACTGGACCAGGCTGACATGACTAGAGGTTGCCATGTTTAGATTATGCTTCCTATATGCAGAATAGTAGAGGACAAAGAATCGATAGTAAAAGAGAAAAGCTTTGTCATGATAAGGTCTGTACCAGGAGCCAGACAGGAATCAGACATAGGTGAACTGGCCCAGATGGGAGCTAAACTAAACTGGGAAGCCTGCATTCCCTCCAAAGGAGGTAGCAATGATTCAGTTACACACAAACACTTCTGGCAGGAATGTGAAGGCAGTATTGCTAGAGTTGCTCATTTTTCAAGGAAAACCAGAAATCTAGACTTCGGAGCATAATCTTCCCATTTTAAAATGAGAACAACTAATTACAAAAATTGCGCGGGCAAAACAAAGTAGGTCTGTGGCTTAGATACCGCCCAAAGGGAACCTGTTTCCACTCTCCATGAGGAATGTGAGTAGTTAAAATGATTTGCTTATAACTAAAGTGGTTTGCCAATGATTACATAAATAAAAGTGTAAGATTAAGTACAATTTTATTTAGAATCTAGTCGGTGCCTGAAAATACAGAAATAACTGACTGCATTTTATCTCAATAGAAGGTCTGATGAATGCCATAATGTACACAAGAGACTCATAGGATAGTTGGTGAAAAAATGAGTCTGAAACATTTCACTTAAAGACTCTGTTCACTATCCATTAAATATTACTTTCCATGTAAAGCAAGTCATCTTACCTGTGCACTCTTGAGAATGTGCTGCTTGTCAGTGCTTGCTGTTGGATAGACTTTTGCCGTAACTATTGTTTTTCCCAAAGGCCCGCATGCTTTCTCCAGCTTCTGGTTGCAATCTCACATTTGGGACAGTAAAAATAGAAGACACTGAGGACAGAATAAGAAGTTTTCACTTATTTATTATAGACATGATTTATAATCATCTTTTAAAAAGCAGGAGACTGAGATGCAAGTTTGGATGCCAGGAACATTGAACATCATGCATGGTAGGTTTTGATTTGGAAATGCCAGGTGGTCAAACAAACACATTTATGCACATAAGCAAACATATGATAGGACAGTCTGTCTTTCCCTCAAATCCACAGCTTAGACTATCTCCCACATTTCTCTGATCTAGAATAATGAAATTAGATTGGGGAACAAGATATTTTTGCCATTCCTTTGTGCCTTTCTTTCATTCATTGGACAAATATTTATTGAGCCCCACACTGTTCTGGAAATTTCAGAATCCTGCAGTAAATAAATCAGAATGAAAGGATATCCCTGTTCTTATAGAGTCCAGTAGGGGAAACAGACAATAAACAGCCAAACAGATGTAATATATGAGATAGTGGTAAATGTTATGAAGAAAAATAAAGTAGGGAAGAGAAACTGGAAGTTTTAGAGTGGAAGGAGGTCACTGAAGTCTCACTTGATAAGGGACATTGATGGAGAGACCCAAATGAGGTAACAGGGCAAGCCATGCATGTCTAGAGGGAGAGCAAGCACAAATCATAAAAGGAAACAGCAAGAGCTGACTTTAAGGAGGCAAGAAGAGAAGCAGGGAAACCAGTTAGGAGGTGACTGTAAATACATGGGTGAAAGATGGTAAGTGACTTGGGGCAGGTGAGTGACTGATAGCAGTGAAGTGAGGAGTGGCCTGATCCTGGATATACTGTGAAGGTAGCAACAACAGGGTCTGTGGAGGAACTGAACGTGGAGTGCAATAAAAAATAAGATAAACTCAGGGATAACTTCCATCAGCTGGAAGAATGATGCTGCTATTTATTGACAAGGGTAAGACTAGAGAAGGAGCAAGTTTGAGGGAAAGGACAAGTTCAGTTTTGGATAGGTTAAGTGTGAGAGGCCTACTAGACGGCCAGCTGAAAATGTTGAGAGTCAGTTGGATATGCAAGTGGAATCAGGGAAGACAGGACTGGAGACAGAAATCTGAAAACTGTCAGTGTATAGATGATATTTAAATCATCAGATGGGATGAAATCACCTAGGCTCTAGGGAGTCCATGTAGATAGACAGATCTGAGGATTCAGCCCCCAGGACACTCTAATGTAAAAGGTCTGGCAAATAAGGAGAAATCAGCAAAGGAGTATGAAGAGGAGACTTTAGTTTTCTAAACTACAGGAAAGCAATGAGAGAACAGTGTCCCGGAAACCAAGTGAAGGAAGTGTTAGTAGGAGGAGATGGTGGTCAATTGTGTTGAATCTGCAATAGGCTGGGAAAAGACCAATGGACAGAGACTTTAAAACCAGGTGTTGTGGACACAAAAGCCTTGTCGGAAATGATTCAAGACAGCATGAAAGTCTAGGAACTGAAGGCAGCAAATACATGTGAAATGGTTGCACCAGTTTTAGTTTTAAAAAGATGGCACAGAGCTACATTAAGAGCATCATGCTATTTTAGGATGATAGAACATGTGCAGGAATGTGGGAAAACCTACAAACTCTAGAGCTAGAAAGGTCCCTGGAGACTAGTGTGTCCATCTCATTTGCTCCTTAAATGAGAATTGGGAAGCCCAGAGAGACTAAGGCACTTGTCCAAAGTTCCCTGGCTAGTTAACAGTGGAGCTAAAGCTGCAATCCAGGTGGTCTGATTCCCAGTTCAGTGCTCTTCACACTGTACCGATTTATTGGCCTTCTTTCACTAAATTGGAGTTTTGTGAATTAGCAAATGAGTGTAATAAAATCAAGGACTCTGTGCTATGAAGTGTATTTTGTTCATTTACTTTGACAAGGGTAGTTCAGCTTCAATTATTTATGTAACTTGATAGTATACGCAGGAGAATGCCCTATGGTATATTTGGGAAAAGTAATGAATTTCTTCTAAATCAGCCCTCCATTTACTTCCCTGCAATTAAATCTTTGAGAAGAAGTGGGGCAAAGCTGTTGGGGTTTTGGGACAGAGGGAGAATGACGGGGTGCCACCAGAATTAGCCAGCTTTAACAGCCAGATCCCCAGATAACTGTACCATTATTCTTGCGTTGTGCTTTTGTAATTCCTGCTTCAGTGGCACACTAACACATTACCTCTAAATTTTGGTACTATGTAACCTGATGAGGTTTTAAGGAATAGTACAATGAAGAAAGATATTACATTATTATGTATTCTTCCAAAGCAAGTGTCTGACATAAGCCCATAATTTCATTTTTATACGATACCATGAAATGACTCCAGGGCTCTGTGTTACTCAGGCTCCAACAACACTTGATGCCCTTCTCACAGGGTCTGATACATTACAATAGCCAAGAAGGCTCAAATCTACTTGTAACTTATTTTTGTTCCCATTTTCTCCTTTTAACCTGACTTTGCTTCCTGCTTCCGTAAGTGTTTTCCTCTTGTGGAAATTCTTTAGAAAGTGCTGTGAGCCATCTTTAAGAATCAGAGTGCTATGGACTGAATTGTGTCCCTACTCAAATTCATATGTTGAAGCCCTAACCACTAATGTGATAGTATTTGGAGATGGGGCCTTAAGAGGGATTAGGGTTAGATGAAGTCATAAGGGCGGGGCCCTCATGGTGAGATTAATGGCTTCGTAATAAGAGGAAGAGAGACTGCTCTCTCCGTCCTATGAAGACACAGCAAGGTGTCCCTTCTCAAGCTGAGAAGAAAGACATTACCAGGAACCGAATCTGCTAGCACTTTCATCTTGGACCTCCCATCCCCAACACAAATAAATGTCTTCTGTTTAAGCCACTCAGTCTATGGTATTTTGTTACTGCAGTCTGAGCAAACTAAGACAGCAAGTTTCCTAAACTACAGCTTGGTTGCTAAGACAATCCATTTATTGATTCTGTAACACTTCTTTCCAGGTGGACCTCCTCCCAAATCTCCTTGAAAAAGCAGCACGTAAGGATATTACAGGTGCTGCTGCTGCCCCTGCTGCCACTGCTGCCTTTGCCAGATGGTGAACTTGTATAAGACTCTATGCTAACATGAAATTTACTTCTAAAAATTAAAAAAAATTCTAAATATAGTCTGCAGATTAACCTAGACAATAATTCATCCAAACCAGTCATTTCACTTAAAGGAACTAATTCCTAAAGTCTCCAAAGTCTGGGAATTCTGTTTTGTAAACATGTTTACAAGTACAGCCACGTTGTTCTAAATGGAAATGACTGTAGTATTTAATACTGTGATTGTCCTTTCTTGCAACTGGATTTATGCTTCATAATGATTATCTTCTAGACACAGAAATAGCATTTCTGTAACTCAAAATTGTTACTGGAGGCATTTAGTAGAATCTTGCTTTAAAAATATAATGATTTTTCATCTTTATTCTCCCCCCTTCAAAAGGTTTCACTGCTCCTGATGTTTAACGTTATGCAAAGACGTGTTTCTGCCAATGAATATCGCCTTATGGTTATGCTTCTGCAAATAGCCTGCTGTGAGCTGATAAAGGGATTAATGCAGCCAAAATTCTTAATCTGTGAAATTACAAATTAAATTCTCATATTAAAAATACCACCCTGAGGTATTTTTTGTGGTTTTAATTCCCCTCTGGTGTTCTGCATACATTGTGCTTGTTAATGACGGGGACGAGGCTGTCTCCCTTGGCAGTCTGCTGCCGAGTGATAATGTGTAGGCATTTACTCACTGATAGAAACTGGATTTAACCACTGGCTGATAAACTAAGTGGCAAGTGGGTAATAAGTCCATATTAACAGAAAAGTACTACTACAGAATTCAGAATTCATAGACCATCAAAATCCTAGCTTAAACTCAATCATCAAGTCAGATGGGATTGAGATGTCACCAAGGAGAAATGATATCAAATTACAAGTTACACTAAACGGAAAAACAAACCATATGTTTGAGTGTGATGAGCCATAAACTAGTGGGCCTATTTGTGTCATTTTTTTTTTCAGTATAGAAAGATGTGTCACCAATTCATTATTTTCCCATAGGGATTTCGTTTTTAATTTAAAAAAAATTTAGGATAGGTATTGTAACAGTTAGTAGACTTTAGAAAGGAAGTGCGGCAGAGTATTGAGTAAATATGGGCTGGGAATATGTGAAGTGTTAATGAGGATTTGCTAAGCATAAGGGGAGTAGTAGATTAATATATCTATAGTCTCTTTAGGGTTAAACAAAGTAATGAGAAATAAATGTGGGATATCAAAAAAAGATTTAGGATAGAAATATCCAAGAGGAATTGCACTTAGAACTTAGTTCTAAAATAAAGGGTTATTGCCATCCAATATTACGATGGGTGAAAAAAGTCTAAAATCTAAGAGAAGGAAGAAATAATCGTTATGTCTACCATAAGTGATATATACCAAGGATTAATAAACACATTATAAATATTAATGCATATATGCAATATGTTAATCTTAAGGCAATCTGAAAAGAGTATAGAAGAAATATCTCTAATTGTTCTTCGGAAAGAACATATCACCATTGAACAAAAATATTCTGACAGCAATAGTTTTTGTGAAATTTCACAAGAATTCTGTTTCACACTTTGGAATAAATCTGAGATCCTCCCAGCCATAAATCTTCCCTCAAATATTTAAGATGTAATTTTAAAAGGCTGTACAAATATAAAGACTTTTATAAAAACAAAACCAAACCCACGCAGGAATGTATTTTGTTTTAAAAGATTCAGAGAAGAGCTGTTTGTATGAATACCAAGAGCATTAGCAGTTAAAATGAATTACATGTCTTCAGTCTGTACATGTCAATTCAGTGCATTAGCCAACTGCCAACTCTGTTCCTCAGCTCGCTGCATAGCAGCCCTTTTTAACGTTATTGTTACAACCAAGATGGTCTCTGAGAACCAAACAGAAATGAATCATTTTCTCCTCTGTGTACTGCAGCCAGTTAAAAAGTACTGCATGCATAAAGCACTAAATATGTAAATCATATTTTCCTTTTCCTTTATGACTGCTCAGATCATTTTTTTGGACACACACATAATCAAATACAAAGATGCACAGCTGCAGACTGCAGAGTAGAGATAGCAAAAAAGGAATCCATTTTCTTCCTCTGTCTGGTAAGCTAGCAAATGAATGGCAGGATTCCACTAAATACATATACACATGGCCCCCCTTCTGCTCTCTCTCTCTAAACACACACACACACACACACACACACACACACACACACACACACCCCTGCAATAATATACCAACACACATTATCTTATGTTTGTGCACACACAAATATGTGAATCTCTGTATACATATTACATACAGATGCTAAAATAAAATGATGACTGCTTGGAATGGATGTTGTAGATTTGTCATACTCACTATCGGTGAGTTCCCATAGCCGTGGGGGCAGGTCACTAAAATACTCATGGCTCAAGGCAGCCTGTGCCGATAGCCTGTTCTTTGGGGAACACTGTAGGAGCTTAGAGGCCAGATCCTCTGCATGGTTCACATAGCTGAGCCTAAAAACATGAGCAAAAGGAGAAGTCAGATCAAACAAGAAAATCCACTAAAGCTTACCTAATTTTTCTGGATTTCAATTTATTCCTAGCTAGAAAAACAAATGACCTGCTAAAAATAAACAGAAGCAAAATTCATGTTGGTTCTTAGAGTATTTGTTACTTCAAACTTACTTTTACACTAGATACCACAGTGCAATTGATTTAAAATACTTCTACTTAGGTAAAGAATTGATACTTTCAGAAAAGATAAAACTAGGTCCAGAGGTAGAAAATTTCAGAAGACAACGTATCAAAAAGTTGCTAGAATTTGTTCATAGGACCTGTGTACTACACACACATCTGGATATATTTATAGAAAATTAATAACAAATACCTAGGAGAATTAAAATTAAGCTGTTATTAAACTCTCCAGTTACTAAAGTTTCTTTTCCTCTAAGAATTTACATTTTCTGGCATTGAATATAACATTATTGAAACAGTACCCTGTCAAATATCAACTATCATAATATTAATACACAGGTTAGCAAAGGGGATGTGTTTAGATGATATGTGCTGAATCGATTCAAGATGACCTTTAAAACAACAGTAGATAGAAAATATGTGTCACAAGATTACAGAAAAAAAAAGCCTAACAATAAAGTGTTTTATGTGGTATAAGCTTTCAAATGGGCAGCAGCACTTCTCAGTCCAGCCCAGCCTTGCTTTTCATAGAACCTCTATTTCTCTACTCAGAGCAATCAAGACTGCATAATTAATATAATAATGATAATAAAAGTATTCCAAATAATGGCTACCACTTGTGGATAGTTGAACATGTGTCAGGCACTTTCATAGGCACTGTTAGCACTAGTATTTATTATAGTCTGAGAACGTAACAGTTGCTATTTTGTAGTGGTAGAAGCCAAGCAGGAGTCAGAGATGGCACTGGATTACTTGGGTAGCAGGTTGAGAGAAAATTCTAATCCATCCAGAACACATTGATTTGAAAGTGGTTTGCATATGCCATGCTCTCTTTCTCTCACAGGTTATTTTAAAAGCATTTCCCAACGGATTATCCAGTTTCTGCTACCCACTGCAATATGTACAGTGACTCTCAGAGGCAGCCAGAAGTGGGTGAGGGAGAGCTGCACCGTCCAGTAGGTATTTCTTTAAAAATCCTTGAAGCTACTAAACACACAATTAGCCAAAAAACACGTTCCCTCAATGACCAACAATATTCTCCTTCACCTCCTCAAGCAGTTCTTCAGTATTTATTTCAAATTCTTAGGGATGGAGGTAGTCAGGAGTGAGTAAGAGGAGGTAATGAATTTGGGTAGCAAAAGGAAAAGCAAAGAAAAATATTACCACAAAGATCCAAACTAAGAGACTCTCTTTAATCTTCTTATATGAAGGATTCACAAATGGGTTCAATGTTTGGCTGCTGTAATGACTGTTCACGAAAAATGGATCAATGGATTGGTTTTAACTGTCTCTCATTGGAAGAGAGAAATCTGTCCACAGAGAAAGAAAGCATTCTCAAAATTCTTCAGTTATTTTTCCCCCTTTAAGAGGGCCCAGACCATCCATATTATTCCTTCCTCTTCCTAAGACTTTATCACACATACAACTTTTCATTCATATTTTTAAAAAATCAAATGCCAAGTTTGAGATAGACTTCATGGTTAAAAGTTGTATTTACACTGATGTACAGTTTATAGTTAATTACAGTGAACAGTGTGTTCATATCAATTTTATATAGTTTTGATAGAACAATGAGATTAGGACTAGATCTGAGTTTCAGGCTTAATACTGTTACTATTTTTCTATATTCAAACAAATAACTTTTATTAAAAGAAAAAAGGAATATTATTATTAATCACCCAAACTGTATGTGGTTACACTGCATGTAAATACAAGAAGAGAAAGGTGATTGCAATACTTGGTGTACAAGTACTTAACTCATAAGTCAAGAGTGTAAAATACAGGAAATACAAAGCAACACATACTATTTTTGATCTTGGTTTTCCCATCTATTGAAAAATAGTCATGAACCACATTATATCTACAGTCCCTCCAGTTCCAAAAAGCCATGAATCGCATCTGAAGCATGGTTTCACTATCTTGAAGAATCATAAACACTTGTAGTTGTATCCTGTTTCTGCAGTAAATTGTTGACTATATTTAAATATAATGTTTATGCCACATATATGGAATTCATCAATATAAGACAATCCCATTCCCCCCCAAATTGACTACACTTTGTCAATAATCAAATTTTTGTTTGTGACATTCAGTTAATATAGAAATATTTAATTGTTATATACAATTTAGTTTTATTCTAAGTCTCCACATGCATTTTCAACATCAGAGCCTTTGTCACTACTAGAACTTTTTTTGGGGGTATACCTAAGTTGTTAAGACATGATACTTTCGGAAATCATATATAACATGTTAATTCAAAGTTTTATCTGAAGTCATAAGTGTACCTTATCAGATTGTTAGAATGGTGGTGGTGGTTCTCAATCTCCCATTGTGATGGTAGATTTCTTTCAATCTCCCATTGTGATGGTAGATTTCTTTCAATCTTTCCTTGTAATTCCATCAATTATTGTTTTATAGTACTAGGCTGAGTAATTAAATGCATAGCAGTCTAGCACTATTAACTCTTCTTGGTAAATTCAGTCTTTAATCCTATGTCATGACGCTCTTTAATAAAGCTTTCTAGGCTAAAGTTCATTTTATTTTCACATTAACACAATATAATAACCTCAGCTTCTTTTGTTTAGTATTTGCCTGTCATATCTTTTGTTACCTGCTTGCTTTTAGTGTTTCATACACGTAATATCAGGGTGTCGCTTTCATAAATATTTAGCTGGGTTTAATGTTTATCCAATTAAATAATCCCTGTCTCTCATGGAGAAAGTTTAGTCCATTTACATTTTGTGATTATTGATATATTTAGAATTACTGCTACCAAATTAATTTTGCATCCTATTTTGTTTTCCTTTACCTTTTTTCTCTTTTCCTGTCTTCTTTTGGATTAGTTTATTTTAGATGGAACTATTTTAGGAATATTACTTCTAGAAGTTATGCATTCTATTTCCATTAATTAGTAATTTCTCTTAATTTTTCTTCTTCCTTTTTGCATTCATTATCAATTTAGGTGTTCAAGCTTTCACAAGTTTTTGAAAGCTGGTGAACACTGACATATTATTTCTCTCACAAAACTGGAAACACACAATCCAGACAGTGTAAGTACATGGTTGAACTGATATCTATATATATATATCACCCTTTTATTGATTGTATAATAAAACAGATTATTAAGTATGCAAATATTAAGTTATACAGTTCAAAAGACATAAAAAATATTACATGTCTGCTCAATTCACTACTACAAGTTAACTTCTCTTTTCGCAAGAGGGGTTGGAAAGAGATGGACAAAAATCACATTTCAAACAAAAACAGCTGGTAAACAACTTCCAATAGATATGGAAAAAAATTATAAGATTTAAAAAATTTGTATTACTAACAATTATTTCATCTACAATCATAAGGTATGTCTACCTTAAAAAATGTTTACTAAAGAACATATGTCCTGAACAAGACAAACACATTTTGCTAAAAATACTTAATAGCTCTCCCGTTCTTCCTTCAGATTCTCTCTTTTAAGTTGCATCCCAAATGCAGACACTAAATTAACTTTAAGACTTTTTTGGTCTGGAGACATTAAAGATATGTGCTTCTGTGCAATGTGGACTTTACATGAACTTTTCAACCAGAGGTTTATTATTTTCAAAATGGAGGTTTTCATAAGAGCACAAAATGAGATTTATAAAAAGACATTAAGAAATAGTCATTCGATTTGGATGAAAGCCAACAAAATCAATGGCTACACAAATCTGATGTACACTGTTTTAAATGTGACAACTATAAACATATAGTATCAGGCAAACAGCCATATAGGCCCCACTATTAATGTTCGAAATGACTGAAGGAATAAATCACAGAAGGCTTAGACTGTTGTTCACAGTTCTCGGTTTTTAATTCTGAATGACATTAAAAACATACAAGTATTGTGCTGGATATTTTGGCACCCAATATCTCTTATATATTTCTTATATATTGATAATATATATTGATAATATAATTGATATTATTAATTATAATTATTATAATTATATTATAATTATAATATAATAATTGATATTATTAATTATAATTATTAATTATATATATCTATATACAATTGATAATATATATTGATAATATATATATTGAAATATTTCCCAATATTTCTTATATATTGATAAGATTCAAGAATGTGAATAGACTTCAAGACATAACTCAATACTGCATGATTTCAGGAAAGGTTAACTCATACTAATGATAAACATGCTTTAAGGGCTGAACAACAAGCTTCTCCTTTCTTCTTCTTTTTCTTCTTCCTCTTTTTTTTTTGAGACAGAGTTTCACTCTGTTGCCCAGGCTGGAGGGTAGTGGCATGATCTTGGCTCACTGCAACCTCTGCCTCCTGGGTTCAAGCGATTCTCATCCCTCAGCCTGAGAGTAGCTGAGAGTACAGGCATATGCCATTATGCCTGGCTAATTTTTGTATTTGTAGTAGAGGCAGGGTTTCACCATGTTGGCCAGGCTGGTCTCGAACTCCTCATCTCAAGTGATCTGCCTGCCTCAGCCTCAGAAGGTGCTGGGATTATAGTCGTGAGTCATTGCGCTTGCCAAATAAGCATCCTTTGCTGAGTGTCCAAACAAGCTGATCATAATCCAAACACAGAGGTTTCAATTTTGTCAAGCTTGAGGCCTGGTAAGAGTGCTCATCAGTACTTTTGGGGAAGCTTCATTAGACTTATCATTCACGAAGCCTACATGCTGGCTAATATGTTTGATAAACTGGGTCCTGTCTTAAGTTCCATTTCCAAGGCAACAGCATCAGGTAACCTGGTTTTATTTACTGTAAGAGTTGTTTCTCTGACTGCTGGTGTCTTACAAGTGCAGCTGTA